GACCTTTTGTGACAAAAAATATAACTACATCATTATTGAATATAAAATATCAAACAAACAAAAAACTTGATGTTGTACTTATCAACAACGAAGTTCACTAGATCTGCCCCGCAGTGGATCAGCGGTAACGTTGCAGAGTTATAACGTTAGAAACTTGGTTTACATATCTTTGGTGGGCACAGCACAAATTTCCCATTGTGTAGCTTTCTGCTTAATTACAAAGAAACCAACCATTGTAACTCGTTTTATTTTTATTTTTTTATGCAACTGTTGTATCGTTTTGCACGAAGCAATACCATAAGCTGTCTGTGTTGTGTTCACCGCGAGAATCGAACGCCGAAATTAACCTTTGAGGTCCACAAGTTTCTCTTTGCGCTACCTAGACGAATGTTTAACTAAACTGAACACTTAAATCTTAACTGTTTTGGTAATAAGACGTCACAATGTCGTTAGTTTAATCATTTCTATATATTTTTCCTCATTCTACGAGTAGTTAAATAACACAAAGTCGTGAATTATATGAATAGCATGTTGGAAACTGTAGTTCGTCACACGAAACGAAAGACGTTGGATTATGTTTTCTAGTACGATACACAACTTTGAAGAAAGGAGAAATTATCAGAAAAATAGTGTTACGAGTTCACTTAAGGCTTAGCTAAATATGTGAAAAATAATATATATGTATCACATGAATAGAACAGAAAAAAAAACGTTACATGGCGAATAATATTAAAATGACGTCAAAGGTCATTAGATTGTTATTCCAAATACGAACAATGCACGTTACTAATGTTATTGTTTGACCTCGACATTTTTAATAAGACATAAGAAAGTTGTGATATACTTTTTATTAAACTTAATAGGTCCATGATAAACAAGTCCTAAGATACGTGAGATTGTACTGTGTGTATTTTGTTGACGTCACCAGTGATTAGCCAATGAGTGTTTCCCATACCATAAGTAGTGAAAATCAGTGGTCTAATTTCTGGTTTTCTCAAACAGCCTTGGTTAGAAACATCTCTATTTCTTCAGTTTCAAAAGATTGTTGTGTTAAAAAACACTGCCCTACTTTTCAGTGTGATGAAAGACGGGTTTTAGTTGATTAGGCTTGGTCGTATAAAAGCCGCATAAATTGGAGTAAGAATTAAAGAGAAAGCAACGAAAATCTTTAATGTAAACGATATCGTTACAGCCTAAATAATACATCATTAATTTAACACTACTATATAACCAATAAAATACTATTGATACGCTTCATGTTAACATTACTTAGAAGGAAAGTTGTAACGTATACTTACCCTAATCATGCTCCCTGATTTGGAAAGCTTTGAATGCGGAGCAAATTGTAACAGAAGAACTGTTGGTTCGTGTTATGATTTGTTTGGCTTACAAGTATTGTGTTTGAATAAATCAATCCGTGTTTGGGTCAGAGAATTGTTTGATGATGATTGGATTACAAACAACATAACGGTAACACAACGACCGAAACGTCGTCTCTTTTGAAAACATTTCTCTGCATATTTCAACTTTACTTAACGAAAAATTAGCTTTAACGGTTAAGGAAGGTCTATGTGTATTTGTTACACAGGTTCAAAAATATTATTCATTCTTCAGTTTGTTTACAAAACATCTGGTTTCTGAAACGTAATGATTTCATTTTCTATCAAGACTCTACCTTAAACTAAGCTAAATCAACCATGACACCATTTTTAAAGTGTTTATTTTAAGATATTCGAACCTAAACCACTATTAATTGTCCGCTTTATTACAGTTTTTTAATATACTCCTCCCCCTGTACCAGCGAATCCTCCCACAGTTCCTCCTCCTCCTCCTCCTGCTCCAAGGAATCCAGCTTCACATATAGCAAGAAATCCCAAAACCGACAAGACCTGTAATATTTAAAGGAAAAGTCCATAATGAACACCATTTTATTGACTATTCTGAGGATTAACCTAATTGTCCACCTGTCCCAAATCCTCCACCACCAAAGTGGCCACCTGTCCCAAATCCTCCACCACCTAATTGTCCACCTGTCCCAAATCCTCCACCACCTAATTGCCCACCTGTCCCAAATCCTCCACCACCAAAGTGTCCACCTGCTCCGGCCACTTTGGTGGTGGAGGATTTGGGACAGGTGGACAATTAGGTGGTGGGGGATTTGGGACAGGTGGGAAATTTGGTGGTGGAGGGTTTGGGACAGATGGCCACTTTGGTGATGGAGGAGTAGGAGCAGGTGGTAAGTTTGGTGGTGGGGGAGCAGTAAGTCACTTTGGCACTGGAGGGTTAGCAGCAGGTGGGCAGTTTGGTTCTGGAGGAGTAGGAACAGGTGGACACTTTGGTGCTGGCGGGTTAGCAGCAGGTGGACACTTTGGTGCTGGAGGGTTAGCAGCAGGTGGGCAGTTCGGTGCTGGAGGAGTAGCAACAAGCGGACTCTTTGGGGCCGGAGGTGGAATAGCAGATGGATTCATTAGTGGTGGACGAGGAGGAGTAAGTCATTTCAATTTGGTATAAAGTTGTATATGCTTTTTTATTATTATTAAGTTTGTTTGTAATTAACCACAAAACTACACAATGGGCTACCTGTGCTTTGCCCACAACGGGTATCGAAACATGGTTTTTAGTGGTGTAAGTCAGCAGACATACCGCTATACCACTGGGGGACTTTTATTATTAGGAACCAGTGAAATGTGCCTTCCATATTCGCTACAAAAATTATTGATATTTAACAGAAACTGCAGTTTAGTGAAACTTGTTAAAACATTTTACTGACTTTTATTCTTTATCTATCAGGGTTGAAACAAAGACTTTATTTACTAATCGGGAGATGAATTTATTCACCTAATTACCAGAAACTCTAGAAGGATGTAATTATTTTTGTTTAAGAAATTAAACTGATCTGGAGGATTTAAGCACCAAATTCTAACGTTACCTTAAATTAGAATATAACTATTATTTCTCTTGGAATAGATCTCAGTAAATCTTTGTTCAGTTTGGATTTCAATAAAGCTTCGTTTGATATAGGTTTCAGTAATCCATTTTGATAAGGATATCACTAATCCCTCTTTTTCTTTAGGTTGTCTTGATATACCTAAGTTCGTCCAGTAATTAGCAAATCGAAAATAGTAACGAAATGTTTTACTTTATGTTAATTAACACTCGGGTAAACCACGTTAACAGCTTGATGAGTGAGATTTAATATACACAAGATAAACAACGTAGTAGACAGGTAACGTATGAGATTCCTTCGTAGAGTGTTTTAAGAAAACTTTTGTAACCAACAGAGAAATAACGAACTTTTGAATACGTATAAATTAGTTCCGTATTTCTACACAGGGAGGCTACGGCCAACAACCAGTGTACCCTTCAATCCCAACACCCCATTCATTTAGCTACGTTGCACCCGCTGACGGCGGTTTTAGCGCACGACAGGAGGTTGGAGATGGATATGGGAACGTAAGAGGAACTTACAAGCTTTCTGACCCAGATGGACGATTTAGGAAAGTCCAATACACTGCTGGTCCTGAAGGATTCCGAGCTCAAGTCTACACCAACGAACCTGGTACCAAGAGTGAAAGTCCTGCTGACGTCAATTTCCAATCCTCTGCTCCTGTTCCACCTCCTTATTACCCACCAAGGCAACGACCTGGACACGGAACCCCTGGTGGTGGAGGTGGTTATCCAAAACACCCTCTTCCAGCTAGCAGACCTTGGCAATAACTTGGCCAATTCTATAATATAACTTTATGGAAATGTTTCTGTTTATCTCGGTGCTTAGTTAAATAATAAAGGTTGTCGTATTTCAATAACATTTTACCGATAT